GACGTTTGTCTTTCTGAGAATTAGACCGGCACTCTTTAACCAGTTGCGTGATCTTATGTTGCCTTTATTATGACTTGCTTTAAAATAAATTTTTCGTTCGCAGGCACTCTTGAAAAAGCCGAGCGTCGTGCCACTGGTGCACTGTACGGCCTAGCGGCAGACACAACGGAGCAATCAGGTAATTGCTTACATTCATTATTTGCTAACATAAAATTGTAAGCTGGTGCCTGCTTACCATGCCTGTTAAAGGAGGTGAAACAAGTTCGGAAGAGATGATGACCACTTTGCTAATTGAGCTAACTAGGAGGTTAACCTGAAGGCACCATACCGATTCAATTGGCAAGTTAAAGTGTTAACAACAAACAATGTTTATGAATAACACAGTGCCTAAATTTTCAGGCTAGTTAGAACCTGTGGTCATATGATAGCTTCCAATTCCTAATGCCCAAAAATGGGGTAGTGCTCATTGAATCCACGAAACAAAATGGGGCTTCCATTACAGTATTTTATTTTTAAGAATACAGTTTTAAGCTTGTTTTGCCACTTCATGCAACCTTAAAAGGCCCACTTCTCTGTTTCATATCTGACAGTGGCTTAAAATAAATGTACATGCATAAACATTCTTTTTAGGCAAGGAAGACCCGGGCAACCCCCACCACAGGTTCATCGCCTGTGGTGGGGTTGCCCGAACCTCGTAAGTAATTCATAATGTAATTCTACAAGATACCTCAGTGAACAACACCTGTGTTATTACTGTGTTAAAGTACTCGAAATTGTTTTTCTTCATTAAAGTCAACTAAAAATTTACGTCAGAGTAAAAGCTCAATGTATGACAGCCGATAAAACGACAATACAGTTAAACCTCTTTATAACGAAGCTGAAGGGGGAGTCTTAAATACTTCGTTATAACATTAGCTTATTATAGCCCATATTCATTTCTACCGACAACTAGCCAGCAAGAGAGAATGTGCTCGCCACTGAATATCACAGCAGCCTGCCTCGTAGAGAAAAACAGCTGTCAGAAAGCAGAAAACTAGCAAAATAATAAAGGGCAACACACTTTGTGCCTAATTCAGCGCACCAGCCTAATTCAGCACACCAGCTGGCAGATCACTTCGAAGAAAAATAGTCTTCAATAGACTTTTGTCGAATCTTCCTCAGGCGGATGACTTTTTCAGCAGCAGCAGCTAATTCGAGTCCGTCCTCGATGTCATTGTAGGCACCAAAGAAGCGGCTGCGGAAGGTCTGTCGCAGCCAGCGCTTGCACAGGCGTCGGTACGTCGGGTTCGTCAGCATTAGGCTCCGGGATGTCGACACATTCGTCACTGTTGTCATGCACCCCCGTCACCGTGCGCACAATTTCCGTATCTGACAGCTCTTCGATATTCAAGTAAAGTGTGGGATTGGGCTAGTTGGTGATCCATATAAAACTTCTAGGCGCGTAAAACTTCAGACAACTAACATAAGAGACAAGGGACAAGGTCAAGTGGACCGCGGTCCTGGTGACAGGTCTGCAAGGGTGAAAAAACGGCACGAATGGACGAAGCTGATCGACCATGCTGTAGAGAGCAGATGGAAACAAGAGCTGCTTCTACTTCGGCGCCAAAAACGGCGTCCCCAAGTGCGCTCTGCAGGACAGCTCCACGTTGAAGAGGGAATTAGCCTTCCAGACTACGTCAGGACAACGCTATCCCTGGGACCAAAGTTCGCCGTGGAAAAGGAAAAACTCACCTGCGGAACTGCTTTCGTTAGTGCGGAACGTTTCAAGGGCTGCCCCGGACAGTGAATCTGAGAGGTGTGTTTCAGAAGGTGTTGATGTCCTCTACCGATATGCGCCTCGAGGAAAGACCATTCCAGTGAGGAAAGTCGTCTCCTACCTAAAGAGCAACAAACTATGTCTGCTGCCTTCGGACAAAGAAGGTGGGTTTTGTGTCGTAAGAAACCGGACCTTCATGAGTAAAGGCCACGCGGCTATTGACTCTGTGTTTAACCTTTGCCCGCAAATTAATCTGAAGGATGCGAAGCGAAAAGCGTGCAACATGCTTGATAAGCTTAATCTATGTAGCCTCGTGAGATCAGTTAACAAACAAGAAAGACTGGCGCTTAATTTGTTTTTTTCTGCAAAGACGCATAAGATTGATATGCCCTTTCGTGTTATAATCTCTGAACGGGACACATGGCAGAAGTGTGTTGCCTCTTGGCTTCAGAGGTACCTAAAACTGTTGCCGATTAATGATCCTTTTCTAGTGAACAATTCTTCGCAGATTGTTGGCTTCCTCCGTCAACACGTGTCCACTCGTCGAGTGGGTGTTTCCATCGACATAAAGGATCTCTACTATTCTCTGCCTCAAAAACCACTTGTTGATGTCATTGAAAAAGCAATTTCTGATTTTGGTGCTGTTGCCTTTCAAAACGAGTGTGGTATTTCTGTTTCTGGCTTCCTGGATGTGCTGAAGCTTTACCTTGCCTCCACCTTTGCGGAGTGGAATGGTGAAGTTTTTCTGCAAAAAACAGGCGTGTGCATTGGCTCATGCATCGCCCCAGTGTTGAGCGATTTATATCTCGCTCATTTGGATAGAAAGATTCATCAACGGTTGGTACAAATGAATGTCAGTAAGTGCTTCCGGTTTGTCGATGATTACTTAATTTTGTTTGATTGCGATCTTGAGGTCCTTAGTGAGTGCTTTCAGCAAGTCTTGCAAGTGTTCCAGGAATGCCTTGAACCACTGTCTCTCACGTATGAGTTGCCGGAAAATGGTTCCCTGAGGTTTTTAGAGTTAATACTAACTTTTTCAGCTGGGCACGTGTGTTGGACGTATGAGCCACGGGGGAAAAAACCCCTTTTACCGTACGCGTCTTCTCACAGCAAACTGGTGAAGCGTGGAATTGTAAAGGCATGTTTATATAACGCTTTAACAAAATCTTGCTTCCACTCAGTCCAGCGAAGTTTCGACAGGCAGATTCTCCGTCTAGAGGCAGCGGGCTATCCCGGTTCGTTGCTAGTTTCTGTGTGTGAGAAGCTGCGCAGACAATCAAGGGCCGGTAACGATGGGGACGTTTTACAAGAAGCAACTCCCAAGAGGGTGGCGGTGATACCGTATCTACATGGTATCTCGCATAAACTCAAGAAAATAGGCCAGAGAGCGGGCGTGTCAGTGGTTTTTTCCGCACCGAATAAATTGTCAAAATTATCTGTCCAAACAAGCCCCGTAGGAACCACTACGAGTAGCTGCAAAATTAAGCACCGAAAGAAGTTTGTTGAGTGTGCAACAGGGATTGTTTATGGCGTACCTTTGTCTTGTGGACTTGAGTACGTCGGTCAGTCGGGCAGGTGCCTCAATGTAAGACTTCAAGAACATTGCCAGAAAGTAAGAAATGCAGGACGGGACGGTTTTTTGGCCGCTCATTGTTCCGAATGTGGATGCCAGCCTTTGTTCGAACAGACAAGGGTTCTCGCGTCCCACCCTAATGAAGGCACAAGACTTGTAATTGAAGCTGCAGCAATTGCTCGAGGTAGCTGTATCAGCAAACCATCGATAGCATTATCTGGGAAAGAATTGGCGTTTTTAAATTCGGCACGTGAGGGCCCAGGGTGAGCACGTGATGTTTTTGCAATCTCTCTTTTCGCCTTTTGATTTGTGTGATGTTTTTGCAATCTCTCTTTTCGCCTTTTTTTGTGTGGCTTATCTTCTTTCTAATATATATATGTGTGTCGTAGTAGTAATAAAATCAGTTGAAAGTCTGCGCTCGTCCTTGTCTCTTATGTTAGTTGTCTGAAGTTTTACGCGCCTAGAAGTTTTATATGGATTACCAACTAGCCCAATCCCACACTTTACTTAAGTACATTTCTAGTTCCTTCGGGCACTGTTAATTGTAGCTCCTTTCCCCCTTTTTTGCTTGTGACGCTCATTTCACTTGCCCTGTGCCGGGCACGGGCACTGGCTTACTGCATTCGTGTCGGTCAGCTACCGCTGGACGTTCAGGCTGCGTTCGGGACCCTGGCTCCATCCGTCGGTCACGGAAGGCGGGTCTGCAGGATTCTGCGTTCTGAAACCCTGCGACAAGCTCGAATACTTCGGGACTTTCTGTACGTTCAAGTGGACCGCGGTCCTGGTGACAGGTCTGCAAGGGTGAAAAAACGGCACGAATGGACGAAGCTGATCGACCATGCTGTAGAGAGCAGATGGAAACAAGAGCTGCTTCTACTTCGGCGCCAAAAACGGCGTCCCCAAGTGCGCTCTGCAGGACAGCTCCACGTTGAAGAGGGAATTAGTCCTTCCAGACTACGTCAGGACAACGCTATCCCTGGGACCAAAGTTCGCCGTGGAAAAGAAAAACTCACCTGCGGAACTGCTTTCGTTAGTGCGGAACGTTTCAAGGGCTGCCCCGGACAGTGAATCTGAGAGGTGTGTTTCAGAAGGTGTTGATGTCCTCTACCGATATGCGCCTCGAGGAAAGACCATTCCAGTGAGGAAAGTCGTCTCCTACCTAAAGAGCAACAAACTATGTCTGCTGCCTTCGGACAAAGAAGGTGGGTTTTGTGTCGTAAGAAACCGGACCTTCATGAGTAAAGGCCACGCGGCTATTGACTCTGTGTTTAACCTTTGCCCGCAAATTAATCTGAAGGATGCGAAGCGAAAAGCGTGCAACATGCTTGATAAGCTTAATCTATGTAGCCTCGTGAGATCAGTTAACAAACAAGAAAGACTGGCGCTTAATTTGTTTTTTTCTGCAAAGACGCATAAGATTGATATGCCCTTTCGTGTTATAATCTCTGAACGGGACACATGGCAGAAGTGTGTTGCCTCTTGGCTTCAGAGGTACCTAAAACTGTTGCCGATTAATGATCCTTTTCTAGTGAACAATTCTTCGCAGATTGTTGGCTTCCTCCGTCAACACGTGTCCACTCGTCGAGTGGGTGTTTCCATCGACATAAAGGATCTCTACTATTCTCTGCCTCAAAAACCACTTGTTGATGTCATTGAAAAAGCAATTTCTGATTTGGTGCTGTTGCCTTTCAAAACGAGTGTGGTATTTCTGTTTCTGGCTTCCTGGATGTGCTGAAGCTTTACCTTGCCTCCACCTTTGCGGAGTGGAATGGTGAAGTTTTTCTGCAAAAAACAGGCGTGTGCATTGGCTCATGCATCGCCCCAGTGTTGAGCGATTTATATCTCGCTCATTTGGATAGAAAGATTCATCAACGGTTGGTACAAATGAATGTCAGTAAGTGCTTCCGGTTTGTCGATGATTACTTAATTTTGTTTGATTGCGATCTTGAGGTCCTTAGTGAGTGCTTTCAGCAAGTCTTGCAAGTGTTCCAGGAATGCCTTGAACCACTGTCTCTCACGTATGAGTTGCCGGAAAATGGTTCCCTGAGGTTTTTAGAGTTAATACTAACTTTTTCAGCTGGGCACGTGTGTTGGACGTATGAGCCACGGGGGAAAAAACCCCTTTTACCGTACGCGTCTTCTCACAGCAAACTGGTGAAGCGTGGAATTGTAAAGGCATGTTTATATAACGCTTTAACAAAATCTTGCTTCCACTCAGTCCAGCGAAGTTTCGACAGGCAGATTCTCCGTCTAGAGGCAGCGGGCTATCCCGGTTCGTTGCTAGTTTCTGTGTGTGAGAAGCTGCGCAGACAATCAAGGGCCGGTAACGATGGGGACGTTTTACAAGAAGCAACTCCCAAGAGGGTGGCGGTGATACCGTATCTACATGGTATCTCGCATAAACTCAAGAAAATAGGCCAGAGAGCGGGCGTGTCAGTGGTTTTTTCCGCACCGAATAAATTGTCAAAATTATCTGTCCAAACAAGCCCCGTAGGAACCACTACGAGTAGCTGCAAAATTAAGCACCGAAAGAAGTTTGTTGAGTGTGCAACAGGGATTGTTTATGGCGTACCTTTGTCTTGTGGACTTGAGTACGTCGGTCAGTCGGGCAGGTGCCTCAATGTAAGACTTCAAGAACATTGCCAGAAAGTAAGAAATGCAGGACGGGACGGTTTTTTGGCCGCTCATTGTTCCGAATGTGGATGCCAGCCTTTGTTCGAACAGACAAGGGTTCTCGCGTCCCACCCTAATGAAGGCACAAGACTTGTAATTGAAGCTGCAGCAATTGCTCGAGGTAGCTGTATCAGCAAACCATCGATAGCATTATCTGGGAAAGAATTGGCGTTTTTAAATTCGGCACGTGAGGGCCCAGGGTGAGCACGTGATGTTTTTGCAATCTCTCTTTTCGCCTTTTGATTTTGTGTGTCGCTTATCTTCTTTCTAATATATATATGTGTGTCGTAGTAGTAATAAAATCAGTTGAAAGTCTGCGCTCGTCCTTGTCTCTTATGTTAGTTGTCTGAAGTTTTACGCGCCTAGAAGTTTTATACTTCGATATTCGCCGTGCTAGCACCGTAGTTGGTGCAAAAAGTGTGGCAGTCAGGCACAATGGCAGCGTTTAAAAGAGTGTTCCACGACGTATGGGCCCGGTTGCCCGCGACACCCTCACTGGCGACATTGCCAAAATCTACGGCCACTATCTTTTTTCTTGATGCTAGACTCATCATTGCCGACTTCCGCTCGATTGTTATATTTTCCACTTATGTTTGACACTACCGTTGTACATCTCGTCTCTAGGTGCAGAAACTGATAGAGGTGGTGTCACTATTCCACAGCCAATGACAAGGAACAAAGCTACAATTCCTGCCATCTCGGCACGGAGCTGAAAGGGAGAAGGAGGTCGGAGAACATCTAAACCACTTTGAGGAGGTCAGATGCGCGGGTGTGCCAACGAGTTCTACAAAAGAGGGGAGGATGGCTGATGCGCATGCTCGCGCGAGTTGCTGCGCGGGCCAGTTCATTAGTACCTGACGAACGAGGAGGCAAGGCGACTCGCACCAAAGCGGGTGTTAGCAGGCGGGTATGGGGCAGCACAAGGGGCGAGTTCAGAATTGCCGCAGCTGCGATGAGATGTAAATCGTCGCATGCTGTAACATATTGAATTGACGTATATCGAAATTATCAGTAAATGCTTGTTGGGAACAAACAACGGTTCGTTATATTCATTTGTGAGAAATTTTTCGCTTCTTTAAAACAACTTTTATATACACGGGCGTGTATGGGAATTTAAAGGCGAATTACAATTGCTTCGTTATTTCTACTAGTTCATTTCCCACTTTCTTATAACGATGTATTACTGTATTATCAACAGCAGTGCCCTGTTTACCGAGAAATTAAGGTAAATGCACAAGAATACACGTGCCGCAGTAGGACATTCTCAAAATGATCCCGGTGACATCAGACGAACCACCTAGAAAGCTAGATTGCATGACCTATCTAGTTTAACCAGGTGAAAATTGAACTATTGAACCACTCGCGCGATTCCCCATAGTAACGTCTGGCGTTTTTTTTTTTTTGTGAATCAAACAGAATTGAACAAGCAGCATTATATTAAGTCTCTTGATGCACGGAAGGTTTTTTATTTAGTACAGCTAGTTTGATTATTATTGATAATTGTAGGTTGTAACTGATGTCATCGGAATCAATGTGTTATTTTGATGCATCTGTTCTCGTTCATTTACCTTAGTTTTTTGGTAAGTAGGGCATTTCTGTTGATAATATTGTTGTTTTAGACGTTATACGTTGAGCTTTCACTCTCGCGTAAAATGTTACTTGACTTTAGTGTCCCTCTAACAAGTGGCGGGAATCTTGCCGCTGTGTTGCTGTGTACACAAGTGCACATTCACTAGCCGTTCGTTTTCACATATGCTGAAGAAAAAATGCTGTTGGCACTTCCAACATAGCACCAGTGCCGCACTTTTCAGCATGCGGGTCTGGCATCACACTGTTCTGCATCCTGTGTGTAGGCTGTGAGTGGCAATACATTTATAAACTGGGCAGTATTAACAGTCATATGTATAGTATAGTCAAATCTCGGTAATTCGAACTCGAAGGGCCCGAAAATTTGTTCGAATTGAAAGAAGTTCGAATTAATGAAACCTAAATAAATGGAGGGCTTTCTATGCAGTGGTGCATGTGCATTGAGCTAGCACACGAAGGGGAAGTTTAAGAAGACTTGCATTTATTTACAAATCACAGGACATCCATTATTAATTGAAGTAATTGGTAATGCGTGTCATCACACGCTTGCCTTGCAGTGAGTCAATTTCGCACGCAGCTTGCAAAGCATTTCGACTTCGGCTTCAGCGTTCTCCTGGCAAGAGAAGTTGCGCGCGAAAATGTCCAGCGCTGACACTTTTTAAAGACGACGACGACAACGGCCGCTGGGTAGCCGAGCCTCCCGCTCTCCGCCACGCAGCCGTAGCATGGCCAGCACGTGACGAGAAAGGAGGAGCGTCTCCGCACTGAGAGAAGCAGATCGGTATTTTAGAGCAAACCAACACTCCACGGCAGCTTTTTCTTTTTCCTTTTTTGCTCTCTTTCGCGCGCGTCGTTGAATGGAGACGGGTTACATGGCAGGGAAGGGAAAAGAGCATGTGTGGCACCGGTGCATGAGAGGCCCCCCCCCCCCCCCCCCCCCCCTAAAGGTGCAGAACCTTGCTCCTGCAAGGGGCAAAGGCTGCAAAAGATAGTGCCTTTATCCTTTCCTTCAACCACACAATCATTCAGTTTAGCGACGGCTTTCTTTTTTCTCTCTCTCTCTCTTTGTGCGCAGCGTTGGAAGGAGGAGGGTCTATACTTGGCAGGGACGGATTAGGCAAAAACCTGACACGGGCGCGTCACAGATCGGCATTTGAGAGAGCAAACATTTCACCGCAGCCTTTCCTTTCCTTCGCAGGCATTTTCTTTTCTTTGCGGGCATTCATTTCCTTCGCGGGATGCGTTGAGGTGTTGCAGGTGCTGCAGCAAAATTGGGCGGGGGGCTGAGCGCATTTTCGGAGTGTGGTATGTTCGAATTAACTGTCAGAAGTGCTTGGGCGTTTGAATTACCGGGCGTTTTCGCCTATTGGAATACACATAGCTTTGACGGGAGCTCATCATGAGTTTGAATTGACCGGAAGTTGGAATTAAGCGTGTTCGAAATAATGAGATTCGACTATACCATGCTTTGAGGATCGAGTTAAAAGAACTGACAACCAGCCAGTACATCGATTTCATCTTGGTTATAATAAAAAGATCTTGAATATAGCTACAGATTCAAACATACCTTTTGCAGTTTGAGTATTGTATATACTCTCGTAATGCATGCACATCTTCTCCTGAAAAATCGAATCAAATTTGGGAGTGAGCTTATTATGTGGGGTAAATTTAATGAAAAGTTTTGAGGGATGAGCAAAAAATGTGGTTATGCAAAAAAAAACCTCATGTAGCTTAACCTTTTACAATTGCAAACACTGTTTGGAAAAAGTAGGAAACAGATTCTCTGTTGCACTTCACATCCTCAGTGGTTGATGGTGCTATCTTCTGCGAGCTATCCTCGCACCACCCGTGCACCCCATGAAAGTGTTTCACAGCTTTCTATTCTCAATATCGTTTAAAGTGAGACGTGGGTCTTGAAAAACTTTTTTGTTATTTGTCTGCATTTGAATGAACTTTATTACACTTATTCAGTTTCTTCTGCAAATTCCAAATGTTTAAGTAGATTTTCAATGGCTGCATTAGAACGTAAGATGTTAAATTTTTGTAATACACAATTACAATTTTTTTTATGGGGCTTTTGGCAATTTTTCGGTGTCAAACACAAGAACAAAGTATATATTCAGATTACCAAAGAGCTGGCATAGCCTATGATGCTAATTTAATAGTTTGGAACAAATTTGGGGTGTAATATAAATAAATGGATACATACATGAGTGAAAACTTTCTACTACATGTTGTTTATTATTGTCAAGAATTACAATTTGATCAAAAAGATATAGAAGAAAATGAATGGCATAATCGGTCAGATCTATTCAATAAACACATTGGTATCAAACTTGTTATTGTGAGTCAATGAAACATGTCAAAATGCCCCGTTAGGCTACGTATTACGTCTAAAAACATGAAACTGACAAAAATGCATTTGAAGTTTTTGTTTCCCATAAATTAATGTGGTGTTGTGACATAACTGTGTAAATGGCGTCACTGTGTTGCTTAGCCCCTCAGGAACAAGATAATGCCACATATGTTACAACAGTGTCACAACAGATAATTAAAAAAGACAGGGTACGTGCCGTGAACAAATAGAAACAAATAAAATGGCAAGTGGCAGCGAGCGAAGGCGGGAAAGAGAGGGGGGAGCACGTGGGACTGCAGAGGATGAACGTAGCGTGTGTGTTTATTATGTGGGAGAAAAAAAAAAACCCAATTTTGGCAACTGAAATGGGGGGTGACTTAGTGAGTGCGTTCATGACGAGAGTAAATACGGTTATTATTTTTTCAAATCTCTTTTGAAAGCCACGAAAGATCTGCATGTGGTGCAGCCGAGCAGAAGGTCCGTGAAGGCAGATTATGAATTCGTCGTTGTACGAAGGCCTAATGTTTTCATGCGCACCATAGATAGTGCTCGAAATTTGAGTGCATATGTTGTTTCCATCCTTGCTGTATTCCGTGCTGCTTATGATGTAAAAAAAAAGTAGCACGCTGAGAAGTGGGGCTGCTTTTGGGGAACAGTTGAAAATTAGAGGGTGCATGAATGCGGTATACTACCGCTTACACTCAAATCACTCTTGTGCTCACCTCCCTCTGTTTGCCGCAATTGTTGTGTGTACACAGCTGTATAATTCACAGCTAGAAAAATTTTATTTTAGATGTTTCACGCCGCTTTCCACGTAACTATTCCATGATTACACACACTGATCAGCAAGCTTTCAACTGCGCTTAAAGGACACAGGTGCCATAAAAATTCATAGTCGATTCTTTCAAGAAACCGTATGTAAAGGCTGAAGCTTCATGTGTACACACACACACACAGCATATTGTTTTTGTACTTGATGGAAGCTGCCAAGGTCTCATGTGCCTCTAAGCGTAACCTGTCTTATTCATTCTCCATCACTGCAAAAATTTCTGAGTTTCAAATAAAAATACTTTGTGCATGGCCACGTTCGAGTAATTTTTTGTGTAGGTGTTATTTGAGCAGCCTGCAGTGTTTACTTTTTAAGTTGGTAGGCCACCTTCAAAAGTCATTTTGTTTTCGCAAAATAAATATTTAGGGTTTTGTTTTTCTTGCACGCCCAAACATTCACATATATGTTGCAACGAAAATTATCCTCCTAGCGTCATTAGTTGGCGAGTTACAGCAAGTTTTCTATACCGTATGCTTCTACAGCAAAACCGAAACCACATTTCCAACTGTGGTTTTGGTTTCGAAAAATCGCTTTCAAAAGCAAGTGTTGTTTTGTCTATATTAATGCTATTCAATATGCTATGCATTTTATTGTGACCAATATATGAGCTGATGTCATTAAATAAAACTTTGTATTTAAAAGTGTTCGTTAATTTCTAACAGCCACAAGGGGGACGCACGATGCTCGTCGGAATTTTTGTTGTTTGCCTTGGTCAGGCTTGGTCAGGCTTCGTTCTGCATTTGTTCCACATGTCAACGCTACTAGGGCTGTATCCTTAGGCCACCTGAAGGAAGCAAACGATGAAGGAAGTTCTGGCAGTTCGGAGACGGTTGGTCTATACCGAATATTTGAAAGGTCGAAAGGCAAAAAAGATTTGAAGTACCTGCAGTACTACGGCGATGGTGATTCCAAGAGCTATGCCGCTGTTAAAGACATCTATGGAAAGGACAGTGTGTAAAAACTCGAATGTATTGGGCATGTCCGGAAGCCTGTTGGCTGCCGCCTTAGAAAACTGAAGAAGAGAGTGTGTGGACTCGGTGGTAAGGGAAAGCTCACTGATGCCCTCATTGACGGCCTGCAAAACTACCATGGCATCGCCATAAGGGCTAATGTGGGCATTCTTCCTGCAATGAAAAAGGCTACCCTTGCCAGTCTTTTTCATTGCAGCTCTACCAACAAGCAGCCGAGACATGGCCTGTGTCCACTTGAACCAAAAAGCTGGTGAGGATACCAAAGGATTGAAGCACTCGGCCAAGAGAAATATGTACACAAAGGAGGACTTCCAAATGACGTGCTCATTAAAGTTAAAACTGTCTACAGTGATCTGTGTTCTGATGAACTTCTAATGACGTGCCTTCATGGAAAGACTCAAAATGCTAATGAGTGTTTCAATGCATGGTCTTATATGGCAGCGGGCACCCAAAGAGGTCTGTGTAAGCTTGCCTACAGTATTGTTTGCCTTGCATGATGCTGTGGCACACTTTTATAATGGCAGTGTAAGCACCCTAGATATCTTGTGGCAAGCTGGCATAGAACCAGGGTACCACACGACGAAAGCTTGCATCGCCAGGGATCACCTGCACATGCACAATACTAAACGCCAGTCGGTGGATGGGACAAAACAGACCAGGAAGAAAAGACGAGCAGCCATCCGAACAAAAGGAGATAATAATGCTTCTGCAAAAGGGCCCAGCTATGAATATGGTACATTTTAGGCCTGCATGCGAAGACTGTGACCCTTTTTACAAGCTCAGAAATCTTTGTGTACGTTTTTCTGAAAATAACTATTTGCTCCAAATGTTGCGACGCAAATTTTCATAACGTATTTCTCACCGTATACATTGAACTGAAATTTCGCACAATGATTTACAACATATATATGTGTGCAATGAACTAGAATAAAAGAAATCCATCGAATATTTTTCAGTTCACAGCTGAATTCTCCAACAGGTTCAGTCTAAATTGGCTCTGTTTCCCCGTTTTTTTGTTTTTTTAGCATTACTTCCTTGATATTCACTGCATAATATTTATTCTAGTTCACTGCATAGCTCCAGCCATTAGTTACACAATTCTCAAAGCTTTACTGAATAAAGCCACTCATTAGTCATCACACCTGGCGTGGCTAGCACTTTTAATGCAATTTTTTACAAAGATTACCTCCCAATAAATAAATATTCAATATTTTGCACTGTAAATAGACGGGTAAATTAAATAAGACATGCTGGTTTTGAGGAAAAAGTTATTTCAGCGCTGCCTGTCCTAAAAAAAATTTTGAGTGGCCTACCACCTTAAGCCTGTATGTATATGTTGCATTATAAGAATGCAGAATGTGTGTGGCTGTACAATATAGATGAAGTGTAAAATTAAGTGTGTAAATTGTAGTGTTCTTGCAACCAATCTTGCCCCCGTATTCTAGAACGTCCCTCCACTCAACGCTTCACCTTCACTTGAGAAGGCCGATGGAAGCGCCGTCTCTAGGCGGAGAAAGTCACTGCATGTCATCAATAATCTGCTGTGATTCTCGAGTAGCCCAGTGTCACTTTCAAACGAGCAGCGGCGCAGTGCTCAACTCTGTCAAGTGAAGGGTGAAAGTCGAGTCGAGGAGCGTTTGTGAATATGGGGGTTAGTTTTGTTGTCTTGTTAACCTGCCATTACCACTGGATTGATGATACTTTGCTCTAGCTGTACAGTGCTCTCCCAGGCACAATGAGGCACCGCAGGGGGAAGGCTCGGAGGAAACCATGCATGAGTTTCCTTTCATTGTTACACTATGCACGTGTTAAGTGGTGGAATTTAATGTATGCAATATGTATTATGGAAGATTTTGGGGACATACAACTTCCAACACTTATATGTTCTGACGAAAATCACGCAAGAATGTGAGAAGCTTGTGCAATAATCATGCAAGAATGTAAGAAGCTTGTGCAGAAGTCTGTGAAATGAAGTTTTGAAAATTTGTGACAATGTGTGGCCAACAGTGGTCAAGTCTTGTTCAGCATGCTTGACTGCAGGACTCCCGGCTGCACAGGCGTATCTATGGAGTGCCTGATGCATGATGGGCCAAATGTCAGCCTGCACAGTCCTTATTAGCGCACCTGCTGGGAATTTTCTACTTCTTTATCGTCGGGCCTTCAACACTGTTATAGCATTCAGAAGTGCTGCAGGTGATGCAGTACCACAGAAAAAAAAATTATTGAACATCTCCCCGAAGAGAATCATGATGGGATGGAAAGCAGCAGTGGTGTACCCGACGTTGACTTGGCCGAAACAGGCGTCAAGGCGGGTGCTGAAAGAGCGAGTTCAAGTGAAATTCTGTGTAACCTTTACTCGAGTAAACGTTTCTTTGAAATGCAAAGACACGAGAGGTGGGTTGGCTTTCATGCGAGTTTCATCGCGGATAAATGCGCCGCAGAAGAGTTTCCACTCGGCGGGCGGTGGAGAGAGTGAAGCGTTAGAAAAGTCTGTTGCGAGCGGGCGGAGAAGCAACACCACCTGGGTTTGTAGGGGGCTGCTACGGGTGAGGGAGAGAGTGACGTTAACGTGCAGCTGTGGCTTGACATACTTGGAATCGTTCCAACACCTGCGGCGGCTGGGCAACGCAGGGCGGCGCTTTAGCATGCATACACGGATGGACAGGTCACACAGGCTAGTCAAAGAGCTGCTTCGCATCTAAAGA